AAAGAAGAGATCCACTGTCAAGTGCTGCAGACGCCAGCGACCAGCGTGCTGGAGGTACTGTGTCTCTCTGTAGCATGGCCACGCGACAGGCCGCCTGTCGTGGGAGTCGTCTATCGGGGCCCCCCCCCCCCCCAGCTCGGTCTTCCAGGCTGTGGAGGAGCTACAAAGGCAGCTTGAAGAAGTCCAGGTCAAAAGAAAAACCGATGTCCCTTCTCGGCGAATTGAGCATGAAAATTCTCAATTCAGAGACGGTTGATGTTCGGTGCTACAATGCTGCTCTATCTGAGTTGAACCTGAATCCAGATGATCCATCAACCAACACATCTGCTACCGACTCTGACAGCGCTGAATCACATAACAAACATCAGAGCCTCGACGCACAGAGTAGAAGTGCTTAGATCCCCTATCGGTAATGGCCTGCCAATAGCGTCGACCCTATCGACCGGCCCCGGAAGCTGCCTTCAAAGCGCACCACTGGGAACTGGGGACGCACAGGCGAGAATGCAGTTTGCTTGGACCTACTGCTGGCCGATTAGTCCGTTCTCGACACCGACGATGACGTAAACAAAAGGGTCGAAATCTTCACGAAGATGTGGTGGGCGGTCATAGATCGGCGCTGAGCAGCCCGTAGCATACGATGCCGCAGACGAGGCTACCCTTGGCTTACAGACAGTCCTGAGCTGCGCCAGGCCATGTCTGAGCGGGGCGAGGCGTACCAGGCCTGCATAGATCTGCACACGCTGGAGTCTCTTGCGGACCTCTGCCGTCTCCGGAACTCGGCCGAGGATCGGCTGGCGCAGGCTCGCAGAGATTTTCCCAGTCGCCATCGCTCGACTTCCAACGGCCGATATGTCTAGTCCAACCTGTCGAGGCTCTTCCTGACGCCCCCCCCCCCCCCCGGCCCGGCACCTTCAGTCCAAACTACCAACGAGGCAGGCACTAAGCGACGTCACAGCCGACGTCACTGAGCGACGTCACAGCCGATCCGGACCAGCGGCCGCCTTTCGCCGTCTCGGCGACATTCCAGCTCCAGCCAGCCACCCCAACGGAGCTGGCGGGAGCTGAAAAATGGATGAACTCTCCTGGAGCGGTTGGCATGGACGAGGTGCCACTGAGGACAGTGAAGCACCGTCTCACAGTGATAGACCGCCACTTGCTGCGCAGTGTTAATGCGTCCGTGGCAAAGCGTATTTTTTCCGAAGTGTGGAACACTCGAGGTGGTCCTCATCTACAAAACGAAAGGCAGGCATGTGCGAGCCTTTTAACTACCGTCCGCTCTCCCTTTGTCTCACTTGTGTGAGATTGCTGAGAACATCTATCATCAACTCTCTCGGTATTTGTGTGACCACCATATTTTATTTCATGACCGATATGTGTACAGACCATGTCATTACACCAAGGACGCCGTGCTGAGTCACGTCGAATGGATCAACCAAAACACAGAGCGCGCTGAGATTCCTCAATTACCTCCGCCGATCTCAGCGAGGCCTTCGACAGCGTCAACCACGGCGTCCTCTTAAACAAGCCAAGTTGGTACGGAATCGACCCAACATGGTTCCGCAGCTACCTGGACGGCCGGGGGCAGGCGGTGAGGGGCGGTGCGGCAACTCTTCCGGTCCGTTTCGGGAAGCCTCAAGGGTCTATCGCTGGGCCGATCCCCTTCAGCCTGTTTACGAATGGCCTTCACCGCCACTCACTGGGCTGTCGAGTGATAGTACATGCTGGAGAGACCCAGCTGTTCAATTATTCGCTGCCAGACCCTCAACATCTAGAATGACTGCAACGTCGTGTTGACCAGTCTCTGGACACATCACAGCGCTGGCTTGGTTACAATCCACTAAATGTGAACTCAGAAAACCAGATTTTACTTTAATTAGAACCCATCAAGACGTCAACAAAGCCAACAACTTCCACCTAAGTAGAGCGGGATAGGTGACCACACCCTCGTCGTCTATACGACTGCTGGGTGTGACCATCGACCCATGCATGTCCCAGCACATTCACATCAGCCACAACGTCAGAAGGTGCGCCGCCCTTCCGTCAACACCCTGACCAGGAGATGCTAACATTGCTGATGGAAACGCACATATTTCCCCACATTCTATGCCGCATCTCCGTGTGGGGCGGAACGGCCAAGGATCAGCTAGTTAGGATAAAACAGATTATCAATGTCAGTCATCGGATCTTGACTGGCGCGCGGCGGCGGTAAAAGGGTCCAGCGTTGACGCCCCTGGGTTGGGGGCGCAGGTGGAGCAGCTGGTGCGCGAAAGGGACCTCCTTAAAGTACACACAGCCCTTCACAGCCAGCCCAGCCCACTGACGATTCGTCTCATGTTTGTCGCTCGATCCGCGGTGTCTCGCCGGGCCTCCCGCTCATGCGAGGCCGCAGCTCTGGTGCTGCAGAGATGCAAACTCTCGGCCGCGTAAAGGAAGCTTCGCTACCGTGCTGTGGCCTCGTGAAACCAGCTGCCTCTGGCCGTCACTGAGCGTCCGACACTGCCCACGTTTCGTGCGTCACTCAGAACACTGAGGGCCTGAGAGCCGCTCGTCCTGTGCTTGCCTGCATTGGCTTTTGGGAAGTCCCACTGACAACTTTTACTTGAAATGTGTATGTACCTGTGCATTACCCCCAAGACTTGTCACATTGTATCATGATACGTGTCCGCATTGCTTTGAAGCCTTTCGTTTTATGCCTTGTAAATGATGACGCTTATCCTGAAAAGCCATACGGCATGGATGGGCTAAAGATTCAATACAATACAATACAATACAACCTCCCGACCTTAATCATCTATGTGATTAGCCGCATGGTGCTCCACAAGACGCGGCATTCCTACCGTGCTAAAACGTGCTGCTGTCCCTTTGCATGGTTTTATTCTGTTTCAATCCGGCAGGCGCCACGGCCAGCAATGTATGTCCTGAAATACTTGAAAGCAAATAAGAAGATTCCTGAGCGAAAAAAAAACATGACTTCTATGTGTTGCAGTTCCATGACCATGCTTTAATTTAATGGCATGCATGACGGCACAGTCGAACTGATCTGCCCTTTGCTGACTTCGATGCGCGCAACCTTTCACCTTGTACCACATGTGGCCAGGGGTGCATGACTAATGAAAACGGTATTTTGCAGCAGGTCTGCATTAGAGTCGTGTGTGGAAACGGACACAATGTTGAGTCATATAGCCAAGCTCCGGCACCGTTGGCACTGACAAGTAATTTTGCGTGAGTAATGTGTCGATGGCGAGTCGGAGTCGTCAGTCGGAGGAGGAGGGGGGGGGGGGGGGGGGGGGGGGGGGGGGGTGGGGGGGGGGTGGGGGGAGGGGGGGGGTGGGGGGGGGGGGGGGGGGGGGGGGGGGGGGGGGGGGGGGGGGGGGGGGGGGGGGGGGGGGGGGGGGGGTGGGGGGGGGGGGGGGGGGGCCATGGCCCTGGAGTGCTGCATGCCCAACTGGCGGGAACACTAATTCCATTGCTTTAGCGGTTCAATTCCCCAAATCCTGGGTTTGATCCCTAGCAATACCAGTTAAGATCCCCGACGGCAGATCCTTGGGACGCTCCTGGTATGGTGCCTTCTCCAGCGCAGTAGCCAAACTTTTACCACTTAGCTGCATCAGCGCATTGTTTTATTTTGATAGACATCCTTAGTCTTTCCGCTACCCTTCTCCATTGGGGCTCTACTGACCCTTTCCTTTACTTTCCACCTTCCTTTCCGGAAAACAATCCGCAATGGGCCTTAAATAAAATAATAGCTTACTTAATCCGGACTGGGTCTCCCCGCCGGCCCCCAAACCTCTAATCCTCTACCATGTAATTCAGCCGGGAACTTGTGGCCGCTGCTTTCCACAGTAAACAGTCCTTTCTGGAGTTACGTTAGGGTGCCATTGTAGGTACATAATCCCTCGTATGGAAAGCTGGCAGCGTCCGGGGACCTTACGCTCACTAATTTTATGTCCACCACAGTTTTTCAGTTTTTTATTCATCCATGACACGCCTCACCTCAGTTCTTTGTTCACACATCGATTGCCCATTTATCCGCGTAATGGAAGGCGGCAATAAGTCATGGAAGCAGAATGCCAAAAATACTAGTAAAAAACACATTTTTCTCGTCCAAAAACACGGGTTGTAGAAATTTTACCTGCTACCATGCGTGGTCGTTGTTTTCGTTTACCTAAAACACCTTGTAACCTTCTTATACTTTGAGAGCTTATCACGTTTAATTGCTTACTGAACAATCTGCATCACTCCGTAACCTTAGTTATGAATACCAACTGATGCTTTACGCATCTGGCACCACATATGGCGAATTTTACGTGGGCAGTGCAGTTGATCACATATGCAATGCTGCAGTATATTTGGTCACATGAACGATGACTAATGACCCTTGTTACATCGGGTCATGCACAATTTTTATTGCCTACTCTTTTCTTGAACTAAGTGGACACACAATGATTCCGAAAGTTCTCGTAAGAAGAAGAGCAAGACTATTTCAGTTAGAGCAAAACCATAAAAGCCAACGATGTTTTCGTTGTTGTTTTCGTATCTACAGCGTCTAAGGATGCGCTCCTTGCGACCATTTGGCCATACCACTGTTCTCTTCTGTACTATGCGTAAGAGTCTCTTCATCCCCAGGGCATGGCGCAGCAAGATGTTTGTGCCGAGACTGATCACGGCGCTTGGTCTAAGCCCGTAAAAGTCCGTCAAGATCAATCACAGGTTTGCTTTTGCATTAGATCGCTTGGATATATTCATTTCGATTATTTGTTTGCGTAAAGACAGATTATACAGGCAAAAACACGATGATGGATGCACTGTGTCCCTGTTCCCGTGTGTGGTGCCCACCACCTGCTGACGCAACGCGTCCTGCGCGGGGCGGAGCGGGGGGGGGGGGGGGGGCGGCCGCCGCGAGGGAGCGCCGCGGCCGTCAGGCTGACGGGCGTGACCCGTGTCCGCCCCCGCCCGGCGCCGCCAAATGTCAGCTGGGCCTGGGAGCGAGGCGGCGAACTTCACTCGGTCCGCACCCGTCCGCCGCCATGGAGCTGGCCGTGCCGCTCTGCCTGCTGCTGCTGGCCGTCGCCGCGCAGCCGCAGTCCTCAGGCTATCGCGGTCACTTCTTTTCACGCTGGATGCGCCCCAACCGCAACGTCAATCATCTGGGGATCATCCGGCGCACCCGGGTCAATAACGTGCCCGGCTTCCGCACCAGCTACCTGCGCCATGGTGGCTACCGGCCGTACTACAGTGGACAGGAGCGCTACCAGGTCCGACTGGTCGGCGGAGCTAACTCCCGCCAAGGTAGATCGTGACGCCCAGGCCGGGCAGCACAGGGCAGGCCGACCGCCAATAGGGCATCGCTGTGATGCTACCTGCTAAGTATATATTTTTTTCTCTCTCAATTAGGGCCCGTGGTATGTTTGTCGGAGTGGTCTTTCATGCTGATAGAAACCTGTCAGGCTCGATATCCGAACATTGCAATGGGAACTGGTAACAAGGTGTACAGGCGCAGATTCAGGACTTTCGGTCGAAGGCCTTACATTTTCCCAATTTTGGTATTTATCAAGGGATGCCATCGTCCTAATGTATCAGCGACGCCATTATCGATAGATCTGTTACTTAGGGCATATGTGGGATCATAAATATGTGAGTATGAAAATGTTCAAGTTCGAAAAGTCTAAAAGAACTACTTCGGTTCAAATGATAATTTATTGCATAAGTCCACATAATTCAAATTAGTTTAACATCTGGTTAAAAAACAAGTCGTTGGCTGCCTCAGCAGATGTTTAGGGCCCATATGGACACGTCACTTTTCAATCGCGATAATGGAAAACTTAATAATATGCCTAATGACCTTGCGTCAACAGTCATAAATTAATTACAAACGTGACGTATGGCCATGATAACAGTGGTCCACCCAAACGTATTTTGTGTTAACGAAGCCGCGCCCTGAGGCTCCCAGCTGGCTGTATTAGCGCTACCTAGAACCTCTCGCTTTTAGACGTTGTCCATCAGGTAATCCCACGCAAAGAGTCAGCAAGGATCGAATAAGAATGTATGGGCGCCATTGCCTAGAGGATTCCTACCATCGGTTGGAAATTTGATGGCCTCATTTTCAAGACAATGCTACCAATTATATCGTTTTCCAGACATTGGTAAAAATCAGGTTTACCTAGACCCTTTTGCCTGCTGGCACCGATGACTAGGACTCTCCCTAATGTCTGGACTTAACCTCAAGCTTTCCTGACGCTTCCAAGGATCTTGCGTCGGGCTAGAGCTCTTGGCTTGGTAGGCCTGATCTCGCTGTAGTGTCTTTTACGACACAAATCACGCAGATGATTATTAGAAAGCTACTGCGCCGCTGCTGCCCTTTCTCATTCTGGTCTGATGAACGTCTGATTTGATTTTTTAAGTCTTCGTTTTCACCTACTTGCCGATATGTGGCCGGGCTAGCTGACAAACGTAAGAGATTTACATGCCAGTTGCCTCTTGTAAGTTATAAGCCACTCTTCCCGAGAACTTTTGATTAGATCATTCAGACAAAAGTAAGAAGTTCACTTTAGATTTCATCTATTTTTTCTCTTGTATGTGAGAACAAATAAAGTGGTGTGTTCATGTTTAAAACCAAGTCCCACAAATTGGATGATTGTATAGCCCCTGAATTGTTTCATGACACAAAACAACTTTACCGCCAAAGGTCCTATATGACATAATTTGGCTAAACTATCATTTCGAAGATTCTTAACCTTACATAACTATGCCCACGGAGGCGAGAAAAGCGCTGAATTTTGCCTTCATTTCTTGCCATTTGTTTCTGCGTTACAAGCAAGTCATACAAATATATGAGGTTTGTTACGCCTGATAATGCATTTCGTGCCATCAAAAACACAAACGATTGATGCAAATTGGGTCAACTGTTTTGTTAATTGTTATTCAATACTCTATTAATCAACCAAACATTACAAACTGGGGAATATCTGATATCCTCAGATTCTCTTCTTGCTAATATAAAAAACCACCCCGGTGATATCTGACCGGTCTTGGTCCAAACAAATTTTGCAATAGATAAATTTTGCAATATATCCTGTTATTCTTGTTCATCAACAACGCTCTATTGAATGACTTTGGTTTTCTGATAACTTATCATACCTTTTGCCGCCTCAAAAGCAGAAACAGCCAGCGCCGTACTTGATCTGACCCTTCGGTACGAGTGCTAGCACGGCTATTGTTCTGGTTGCGTCTCTTTTCTCCTCGCCAAATATTGCAAAATGGGCATCATTTTACAGCCCTTCATCTTGTCTTTGTCCCATGTAGTAATTCGACCGCGTAAATGTTTTCATGACTGCATGAGCGGGACACTCGCAGCATTTGGCCCGGAGGACGCTGCGGCGCCGCGCTGCTTCGGCCACGACTGCGTGTTCCTCGCCGCCAGGGAATGTGGAGGTGCTGGTGAACGACTGGCGGCGGTTCCTGCGCGGCTGGCGGTCCGTGTGCGACATAGGCTGGACCCAGGCGCACGCCGTCGCCGTCTGCAAACAGCTGGGCTTCCCGGGCGCGGCCACCCCCACGAGCAACGGCCGCTTCGGCTACCGCGGCAGTAAGTTGGGTGCTCGTAGGGGCGCATGTGGGACGTCACCGCCCCCGTGGTGAGTGAGCCTGGAGCACACCGCGGTCATTGTGATTTGACTGCTTTGGTGTTAGTTCTACGCATGGGATAAGCAGGACAACACACTGAATGATAGCAATGTCACATTTGATTCCAGCAATTCCTGATTGGAACCCAGTACCATAACCTGGGTGCCAAGCCGCCTGAACGCGCACACTTCTTGCCACAAAGGTGCTTGAAATCCCATCATTTATGGTATGGTGCTAGCTGTTCGCGTCCAGAAAATAACTGGCTTCGTATACAATATCTTGAAGCCTTTGCCACAATGTTCTAGACGATTTTTTTCGGACCGCAAACAGTCAAAACCCGGTTAGGGCCAAGTATAGGAGTGTCGCAGGCAGACTGGCTGCCGGCAGGCCATGGTACCCAAACGTGAATTAGTCCTGATATTCGAAACTGTTATGCTTGATTTACCGTTTTCTCTAGAGGAAGACCATTGGAGCACACTTCTCACTGAGTGATTCGCTGAGGCACACAGCCTGGTGAGAAATGATGTAGCGAGGTCGATGAAGAACACGCCCGCCGTAACGACGTGGCGATGCTCTCCCCGCAGCCGGAGTGGGCACCAGCGTTAGCCACTGCCAAGTGGGCCAGCACGGCCTCCGTGCCTGCTTCCACCAGGGTCTAGGCAACACTGGCGAGTGTAGCGTCAACAACCTGGCCGGCGTCATCTGCGGCGCCGACACGTCCACGCCCTTCAACGGGGTGAGTCCTGATGGTCAGCCTCACCTGCTGTGCTGCCGGCCAGACCAGCAACATTACCCACCTGTGCTTGCTACCTTTTACATTCCCAGTGTTATGCCGGGTTCATTTATTTTATATTTGCTTCCCCATTTCGATTTTATATTCCCCTCCGCCAGCGACAGCAAACCGGCAATGGATCACAGCCAGTCATCCGCCGGCGACAATAGACCGGCGGTGGACCACTGTCAGTCATGTGCCGGCGACAATTGACCGGCGGTGGATCACAGTCAGTCATGTGCCGGCGACAGTAGACCGGCGGTGGACCACTGTCAGTCATGTGCCGGCAGCAGTAGACCGGCAGTGGATCACAGTCAGTCACATGCCGGCCGTGTGTGAGGCGTCCGTAGGCGGCGAATCGAATAGGCAATGGACACGCTCTCATATAAGTTTGCTTTCTGTTGCAGCCCATTTCAGTCCGCCTGCGGGGAGGAAGTCTGCAGGGCGACGTGCAGGTCAAATACGAAAGAACGGGTGAGACATGCGGGTTTCTCTTCGCTTGGTTTTGTGGCGCATGATGTTCCTCATGCAACCCATTTCGTGCTATGTATGAAAGCAGACAACTGCTAGGGTGATAGATGAACATCTAACACATCCTTCTCGTGTCCATTCTATCACACCTGTTCACAAAATGATCGGTGTGTGCGTCCCGCTTCGATTGCTTGATGTTAGCGCCGTCACGCAGTTTCTTAGAAACTCCTCGCCCTCCCCGTTTTAAAGGTACCGCTCCTGCACGCTAGATGACTGTTGGTAACGTGCGTGTCACTGGCGCAGGCTGGGGTCCCGTGTGCGGCGATGGCTTCGGTTTGAAGGAGGCTACCGTAGTCTGCCGCCAGTTGGGCTTCGACGCCGCCGTTCGCAGCTACCTGAGCGGTACGTCGAGACATGCTACACTGAATCCTTGGGATCGAACTGTGTCCTGAGGTTTTTGTGGCACAAGCGAGTATCTTGACAACCTGAGCTACGCAGCTGCAGGGTCAAATACATCGGAACGGAGTGCGGGTGCAGGCTCGACTCAGCCTGACGCTGACCATGTGTGTTCGGCTCGAGGATCTCCATTGAACTTGCGTGTGTTGCTACCCTGACCAAGCATCTCCAGACCCGATACCCGAGCAGCCAACTTAAGTGGCTCACCCTTAATGTCGCGGACAACGATCAGGTTTCATGACCATGAAGCTTTTGCTTTTTGCACGACATTGTTACGCCGACAGCATTGGAGTTTGCCCCTTCGCCGTTACGTTCACCAGAGGCGGACGCGGAGCTCCTGCGGTGGCTCGAATGACTCCTCACCGTAGCTCAGACCGCCTTTCGCCCCGCAGGTCGCGACGCCGGTGGCCCCTTCATTCTGGGCGAGGTGGAGTGCAAGAGCACCGAGAAGAACCTTGGCAGCTGCAGGTCGCGCCGCGGCAGGAGCGTCCGCTGCCCAGGCAACCGCTACAGCGGCGCTGCTGTCCAGTGCAGCAACAGAGACCGCTCCCGTGAGTTTGGGGCGTGGTGAGGGGGAGGAGGATGGTACACCGGTGGTGGTGGTCGTTGGAAGGGATGCTTGTTGAGGCAGCTGTCGCCATTGGTGACTCTGTGGGCCTTTGCTGTTCAACATGTTAAGCCTTGGCCTTTGCTTCAGCTGTTCAGCATATTAAGCGATATCTGAACCAGCTGCTACGAATAGTCGCCAGCCTAGAGAAGCACGCGATCATTCAAAGTGCAATAGCTAGCTATTCTGCGTCTTCGGAAGCGTGTGGACATACATTCCGAACTATGCGGGGATCTGAATGGTTTCGTGTCGTTCTGATCGGGCCGGGCTCAGCTCAGCCAATCGTTATCGCTGCCACTTCGTTCGACAGCTCTCCCGGACCTGGTCATTGACGCGGCAGAACTACAGTCGAGTGCCGTGGTTGAGGGCCAGCCAATGGGCAGCCTCACGTGCGCTATGGACGAGAACTGCCTTTCTTCGTCTGGTCAGTGGTACAGTGGCTCCGCGTGTTGGCGCTCGGCGACGCTATGGCTCGTTTGATACTTCGCGGCCGCTGGTCGCTCGGTGCTCGTCTGTTCGCAATGGAGTTGGAGCATCGTGCTTATGTGACCAGTAGTATGTAACCAAACTTATGCGTTGTATGTGCTAACTGGGTTGCACACACCAGCGAGTCGATGCTTTCCTTCTCGTCGTGTTCCCTGTTCGGGTTGCGTAACCCGTTGACTGCTTCCAGCGTACAAAATCAGAGAGCGGGAACCCGCCACCTACAAGACCCGCATTCGTAAGCTGTTCCGCTTCACCAACAAGGTGCAGAACAGGGGCAAGGCCGACTACAGGCCCCGCCGGGACCCGTCAGCATGGCAGTGGCACAGCTGTCACAAGTGAGTGTCCTCTGTCTGATGTGGCACAGCTGTCACAAGTGAGTGTCTTCTGTCTGATGTGGCAAAGCTGTCACAGGTGAGTGTCTTCTGACCGATGTGGCACAGCTGTCACAAGTGAGTGCCTTCTGCCTGATGTGGCACAGCTGTCACAAGTGAGTGCCTTCTGCCTGATGTGGCACAACTGTCACAAGTGGGTGTCTTCTGCCTGATGTGGCACAGCTGTCACAACTGGGTGTCTTCTGTCCGATGTGGCAAAGCTGTCACAGGTGAGTGTCTTCTGACCGATATGGCACAGCTGTCACAACTGGGTGTCTGCTGTCCGATGTGGCAAAGCCGTCACAGGTGAGTGTCTTCTGACCGATGTGGCACAGCTGCCATAAGTAAGCGTCCCCTGTCTGATCAGCACAGTTGTCATGAGTGAGTGTCTTCTGCCTGATCAGCCCAGCTGTCACAAATGAGTGCCTTCTGTCTGATCAGATCTCAGAACAGTAAAATACTACCAAATGCTTTTCTCTTCGGCACGTTTGAGCTAGAAAACAGCGCTGGGTCATTTGGGGTCGAGGGATACAGGATTAGTGCTTACGACCTTGCTAAAAATATTCAGAGCTTACGCACTATGCATTGCACGTCATGTCAACATTCAGAGGGTACGGACAGGGCGTGTCTTGAGTATTTCAACGTAAGTTCATAACGTGTTCCTGGCCCGTGCCGCAGTCTAACTTCGGTGATAATTAATGGATGCAAGCGGCCAAACAGAAGCACCGGACCAATTCAATTACCAGTACTTCTTAGCATGCCGATATGCGTTTGTCGTGGTTTTAGTTCATGACGGACAAAAACTTTGCAACCGCAAACGCACGCACTGGCTATTCAATTACTTTCTCATGCGTCTCCTTTACGCTATGAGTTCGCACCAAAAGTAAACGCTTGCTGCTTATCAGCATCAATTATTGCACGCCATTCAAAATGATTTCGCTACCTTTTGCAGAATATCTCATAACAGAATAATAACTCGCTGCGGAGACCTTGACAAAGCTTACGAGCTTGTGTATGCCACTTACGAGTGAACGTTACTGCCTAGAAAGACTAAACATAATAATGATGTTAATAATACTAATAATAATACAGAAGTATGTACCTCCGTAGCCCGGCATTATCTGCGAATCCTCCGCCATTATGGCGGTCTTGTTGAATTATGGCAGATTGGTGTTGCCACTCTGGACCTTCGCAAAAGGTGCGATCGTCAGACCATCACAGATGTGACTGCCCGTGCCTGATCTCTGAAGTTATACCATTTCGATGAGCTGACGTCCAGAGATGTTTGGTGTGCAGTCTCGTTAATAATCCCACGACAGCCTGCTTATTATCACCCACCGGACACCACCCAGTCGCTGCGTAAATTCAGCAATACACTGATTTGGACGTGTTGTTTCAGGCACTACCACAGCGAGGAGTCGTTCTCCGAGTACGATCTGGTTCGTCCAGGTACCAACACCAAAGTAGCCCAGGGACATAAGGCCTCTTTCTGTCTGGAGGACTCCGAATGCACACGGGGTAAGGGAACGTGCCAGACACAGCTAACCAGAGGTGGTGATGAAGCCTAATGTGAAGGTCACGCGTGTGTCTCACTGTTCAATTTTTGGTGCTCCAGTTTGCACGAGGCGCCCCACGTACGTTATATTTTTGGTGGCGTAAATGGTGCAAGAAATAGCTTAGTGGCCAAAGGTGCAAATCTGACAAAGCTCTGAAGGCATTACATTAAATGCGTCGAAAAGTTAAAAGCACCCCATTTTTCTGATTATGGATTTGCCTAAGTCATGTCATGCCTGAAGGAATGGGGACAATCAAGAATGGTTTTGAGTTCAAAATGTAGAGAGCTATGGCATACTTGCCTGATTCATATGGAGCGCTGTGGCATACTCGATTGGTTCATGCGGAAAACTGTGGCGTATTCGCGTAATTCATGTGGAAAGCTGTGGCATCCCTGCCTGATTCAGGTGGAAAGCTTTGGCATACTTGGCTGATTCATGTGGAGAGCTGCGACATACTCGCCTGATTCATGTGGAGAGCTGTAACATACTCGCCTAGTTCACATGGAAAGCTGTAGCATACTCGCTTGATTCATGTAGGAGGCTGTGGTATACTCGCTTGACTTACGTGGAAAGCTGTAGCGTACTCGCCTGATTCATGTGGTGTCTATGTTTTTTTATCAGAAGCTTTCTTACTGCGTCGCAATGGTACTTTTAGACTAGCCTTAATATGAGCCCAAGGTGAGTCGATCGCTAACTGCAGGTGCTCTCATTATAACAATGCTCTAGCTTGTATCGTTGCAGCCGAAGACGAAGTGCGAGAGCGGCAAAAGCTCGGGCATCCTGTTTTTTAGGCGTCGCAAAATATATTTTGCAACGTGCGGAACCAAAATAAGATTGATGACATACTTGGTATGCATAATGCCGCGATCTGAAGAATTATGTTCCAGACAAAATCAAGTTCAACGTTCAATAAATTGTCATGCATGCATTTTGGTGCACCACTGTACAAAACCGCGCCGGAATTATCCGCCAACAGTTACGCGGAACTAAGGGCTGAAGAACGTGTAAACTATTCTGTTGCCTGCAGAATAACACCTTGTGCACACATCGTACAAGTATTTTCATGAGCGGAGCACCACCATCTTATATATCAAACAGTGCTGATAACATTTCAAACGGCTCCGAAACTACGTGTAAGTGATCTTGGGGCCCTTCGTAGAAATAGCCTAGGACACGTGCACTTCTTGCTGATGACCTAAATCAGGGCTCCACTGAATTATTCCAACCTCTCCAGGCTTTTCTAAGCCTGCTTTGTTCCTGAAGGGCTGCTGTGTCCAGGAGTAATCCTCAGCGCCGTTTCACACCGTTCCAAGGCGCAGTCTCGCCTGTCTGCGACCCGTGACCTTTGTCCCGCTGCAGGTATCACCCCAAAGTACCGGTGCCGGCCATCGATGCGGGGCAATCGCTTCCCGCAAGGCATCCGGGCAGGCTGTGCCGACATTTACGGCAGCTACATCGACTGCCAGTGGATCGACGTCACTGACGTTCCCTCGGGCACCTACGATCTTCGGGTTAGTCGTGGTCTGGACAGCCCAGAAAGCTCAGTCACGGTCTAGACACCCCAGAAGGGCTGGGCCGCCCCGATCAGTCACGGTCTGGACGCCCCAGGAGGCTGGGCCGGCCCGATCAGTCAGGATCTGGGCGCCCCAGGAGGCTGGGCCGGCCCGATCAGTCAGGGTCTGGGCGCCCCCAGGAGGGATGGACCGGCCCGATCAGTCGCGGTTCGGACACTTCTGAGGTAGCGGGGACTGCGCGATCGGCTATACTTGAGCCCCTACTGCACAGTAGGTTCGGCTCAGAGTTGAACTCACGGACCGCCTGGTGTAATAGTTGCATAGCCTGGTGTAATAGTTGCATACGTACATCCTTCGCCCAATGTAAGTCAACGGTTTCCTCTAGCGCTGTTTTTTGTTTGCGTCGACAAGACAGCAGCCACAGCGTCTGTCTTGTGACTGGACCAGACGGCCTCATAGTTCAAAGTTGACATTGCAGATCGTCTGATGTTATATTTACACGAATGTATCCTTCACACGCCGTAAGTCAGTCGCTTAGCTCAGCATCCCGCTTTGTTTGCGGTGAGGAGAAGACAGCGACAGTGTTTGGCCGGTAGCGGCGTCAGGCGGGCACAGCGGTCATCACGTGGTCCGACCCTCCACAGGTGCGGGTCAACGCCGACAGGGTGGTGCCTGAGAGCGATTTCAGCAACAACCAGGTACTCTGCAGAGTGGAACTGGACGTGCGCCGCGAGAAGATCAGCGTGACCAACTGCCGCAACACACCGCTCTGAGGCGGCCGCCAGACGGCGACAGCTGAGAATGCGGACTAGGCGACGAATGCGGACGGGTCCTGCAGACGGAGTACTAAACTTCATTTGAAGCGGTGGTGACAGTGGTTGTGATTTTTCGAATCGGCTTTTCAGTCTTTTGAACGTTAAATTTTTAGTGGATTCCTTATCTCATCAGAACTTAAATGGATATTGTGTGTTTGCAAATGGCGAAAATGTGGCACGTTTCCTTGCGAAAGATGGGGTACCCCTTACGGCGTCGTTTGACTGACCGTTGAAGGTAATATCAATAATAAAACGCGTCTCAACGTGCTAAAACATCCCACGTACGTTATGATGCATTCAACTTAGATGGATACATTCGAATCAAGCCCATGATTAAATACATAAATAGCGTTAAGAAATCATGTGTTTCTTGAATTGCGGAAAACGGCGGATGACCTATCAAAAGTTACGACATTGCAAGGATGAAAGGCAATTTTGGGTAGCCTTTCATATATCTAACAAAATGCGTTCTTTGTTTGTAATTCGTTACCTGAAGGATATGTCAGCGGTCAGTAACATTTTGGACGTGCCTTACGAGCAGCCAAAACAAGAAATGACATGATGTAACATGCAACGCTATTAGCGGTTTTTACGGAGACATTTTATCGATGTTTGGAACTAAATTTGGCATAAGCATTCCGATCTTCGGTACTGTTTAGGTGAACAAACTTTCAAACTTGTAACAGGCACCACGCCCTTACAGCAGGCTCACCAGGCATGAGGAAGGGTAGGCATGTGGTCCACGACATCTCCAGTAAAATAAAATCCCATCCATCTCTATAACCATTTCCAAATACAACAGTATCCTTCCACCGGTCTCGTTATTTCCACCTTGCGACAGTTCGGTGATGTACCACGCAAACAATATTGTGGCGCCGTCCTGTGTGGACTCCCAGTCAACGGCGCTGACTCCACCCCCCCCCCCCCCTCCCCCCAGTCGACGGTGATGACTCTCAGTCAACGGCACTGACTCCCAGTCGACGGCGCTGACTCCCAGTCGATGGTGCTGACTCTCAGTCGCCTACCTCACCACGTGAGGCTCTGCCTCGCGTCAGTCCTCATTGCAGCCCGGTCCGTCCGTAAGCTGGGCTCCTCCAGGAGGTGCCGCGGCCGCAGCCGACGGCGCGGCGGCGGCGCCGACGGGCACACGGCCGCCAAGGCCGGGCGACGCCGAAATAGCGCGCGCCGTCGGCCGCATGCGCCACGTCCGTCTTCGCGCGCCGGCCGTCAAAATAAACGGCTCCGGCGGAGACGCGGCACGGCGCTCTGACACTGTCCATGCGCCGGCGGTGGCGGCGGCGCGCGACCTGCCGGCACAGGGCGGCCGCAGCGGGCATCTCGAGGGCGGCGTCACGGCGTCGGTCCCGGTGTTGGGGTAAGGGCTGAACTCCGACGGATGTAAGGTTCGCGGTTTGCATAGGTTAGATTTCTGTCGGCCACGTGGAGGTCACTTCAGATGTGTTGGGTTCAAGGAGGAAGATTTTACATGGGACAGTCCTGTAGCTATCCCGGACCACCACTTTCACCCCTTGCTGGTTGGCCTCTGACGCTGGCCGCTGGCTGATGATCGGGTGGTGCTGACCGAGACAGCGGGCCACTGCTACGACGCTCGAGATGTGCTTGGCGTCTTTGTGACCGGCGGGATTGTCCGTGGTTATGAAGCGCGGTGTGGCAATGGCGCTACCATTGGATCCTAGCTCCAGAGTGGATTCGAAGCCTTCAAAATATTCACAAGCTACTGTATCCAGACAAAGGTCATCATGTCCGACCTGCCTTTTCGAACTCAGAGTCGTATCCTGCTCAGCAGGGGCGCAACCGGGATTTGCCGACTGGACTGAAGGGTCTAATATGATAAGCGGCGGGGTCTATTTGTGGGGAGCCAAACCCTATTCGCATTACCTGCGCATTGCGATCAGACGATAAATCCCACAAACACCAAAAGGTAACACGACAGTGCTTCACATGTCAATGGCCGCGCGACAGCTGCAGCACCTCTCTTGGCTGCGCCTCTGCTGCTCAGCCCGACGGGCATCTCGAGGAAATGGCGTAGTCGACCAGGAATCACTTTCAAGATCACATACATCTTCTCGTCACTAGAGATGCCTGATGTTCTTGCTTCCGATGAGTGATTTCCGTGCCGAGCGAATTTTACGTGATTTTTTTGTGGCGATCAGCCAACCATTAATTCGACCTCGTCGCAGGCCTTTGTCTTTGGCTTCTAACATGAGTCCGGGTGTTGATGATGTCTCCCAGCCTTCAACAATGTGAGTCCCTCAGGAAAAGAAGGGAAGAGTGTCAGGGGTAATTTCCTTGTTTTTTCCATGCACTGCAATGGGCACAATGTTTCAATTTCCCGCGTGTTGAGGTCGCAGTCTCCCCCAAACCCTGTTGAGGTCGCAGCCCCCCCCCCAAACCCTGTTGAGGTCGCAGCCCCCCCAAACCCTGTTGAGGTCGCAGCCCCCCCAACCCTGCGCCCCTCATTCAAGTGTGAAGTTTGGTGTCTTTCAAAATATCTAGAGACGGTGGAATCACGCTGAGCTTACAACGATTTTTGCATTTCCGTACCTTTCACTTCAAAAGCTCTTCTGTTGGAAGGTATCGGCCAGGGTCCGAGCATGCTGTGAGCGATTCATCGATGAACACTTGTTTGCAGGCTTCTTGCTGGCACCTTGCACACGCGGGCAACACGAAAACGATTGCCTAGTACTCCGCAGAGACACCTGGTGTTGGTGACACAAGCCCCATGTGGACATTGCGCATACGGACAGCCATAGAAGTCCGTGGTTCAGCCAGGGATCGAACCCGCGCCCTGGCACTCAGGCCGTCTGGCCAGGTTCTATGTAGAGGACGCCACCGCGGAGGTGCCTGACGACGGCCCGTCCCCGACGCACCGCGGGTGATTATGACGCTTACATGACTGGAATGTCGGGTCAGGATCAAACGTTACCGCTTTTAGACGGCACAAGCTTGTCACACTTCTTATATTGATGGGTCGGTGCGTCCATTTTGGTGCAATAGATGCCTCTCAATGCGCAGAATCACGGCATGACGTCAGCTCTTTATTTCATTCAGAGAGCTGACTCTGATGTGCTTCCATCTGGGAGAAGGCCAATATGTAATAATCCAGCCACACGAGGCCGCCGTGCTCTGTCCTTGACGACACAAGTTACTGCAAGCAATACCGCGTCATTGCGCCCCATTCACCAAGTCAAGTGGACATGGCAAGGAAATGCATTACTTTCCTCATTTCTACCGTGTCTGTATTTCCGTGGCTGTTTACTGTATGAGGTCGCTGAACCGCTTAATTTTGCGAGCGTGACACGCCAGACCATGAACTCAGTGTAACACATATCGTTCAGCTCAAACGCAAGCGCACTGCTACCGCGCCAGAGCATCGTCATCCCATCGGGTTCCTAGCAGGCGTTGCCGTTGTTAGACTTGACGCGCTTTGGTTGTTTTCCAATTTCTCATTGCTAACTAGTAGCTCAGGAAAGAGGTGTAGTAACATGCTCACCATATGGGATCGTGCGGCTGGTCCATGGGAGGATTATTGTGGTGACGGCGTCACACACACACACACACACACACACACACACACACACACACACACACACACACACACACACACACACACACACACACACACACACACACACACACACACACACACACACACACACACACACACACACACACACACACACACACACACATACTGCTGAGGACATCGTGCCTTGTCTGGAATGGGTGATGCAACTGCTTCGCTTCGTTGTGTTGTGATGTGTACAGTTCAGTCAGGCAAAATCGAATACAGCCCTCCGAAATGACCAGGAGGACGACAAGTGGAATATTCCACTCAGGAGAGCGCTGCTGTCCAAAGGTAAAACCCCATATGTCAATTGTTGGCCGTTTTGCTGTATAATGTCGTCTGATTCGTCTACTCATACTGAATTTGGTGATTAAAACCATAAGTTTAAATTTTCACAACCTTTTAGCTCAATCTTTTAGCTCAAAGGTTGTGCAAATTTCAACTATTGGTTTAAATATATGAACTCAGCATGCGAAGAACAGTCGGATGACATAAAAAACGCGAAATGGCCAGAAATTAACATATGGGGTTTTACCTTTGGACGGCAGTGCGTGTCATTAACTATAAACGCCACTGAGAACCGACAGTCGACGTCACACCCAGTTCGTCTCGTCATGCGGTGGCGGTTCTACGCGGTCTCGGTGACCGATAAACACGAGAAGCTGCCGGCATGGTCTATCGCTGCAGCTTGACTGGCACCTCGGCTAACGGAGATGAGTCGGGGCTCAACGTTCAGGGCCAGCATTGCAGCGATCACGAGCCACGGCGGACGAGCGCGCTCGAGCTGCTTTCCGCGCCGCGCTCCACACCAGCGCAGCGCTCACAGAGGAGGCCAGAGGCTCATGCTTCAGCGCCGCGCTCCACACCAGCGCAGCGCTCACAGAGGAGGCCAGAGGCTCATGCTGTTCTGGCCCTGCGCTCTCAAGGTGCGGATGCGCTCTCCCCTCGGCCCCTCTGCCGTCCACGGTCGTGTGCTGGACTCAGGCGACAGGTGCCCACGGGGAGCTGCCCCGCTCGGGCGCGGCGCGCCGGGCAGACGGCTGAGACGCGGTCGCTATTGTTGTCGGGTGGTGAGAAATGAACAGGTCGCGAGTAATCTGTGTTGCTTTTGGTGGTGGTGAGAGGCACCACGTCATTGCTCGTGGATGTTAATTTTGAAGTATGGTTCCTGCAGAAAATAAGAAAATTTAAGTCCAACTGACCCTCATAATAAAAACCAAGCGCAGTATGTCACCGTGCTGTGCTGTATATATATATATATATATATATATATATATATATATATATATATATATATATATATATATATATATATATATTACCCACCTGACTTCTGCTCAATGAAATTTGTCCTATTCTCCCTGACTTTTTGAGTGAGATGTTTGCATACAATTGCTCATGTCGTGCCGCGTGGTCTACCGGTGTGTGATGTCTGCCATAGGTTTTCTGTTACTAAGGCTCTTGATGGAAAAATCAAAAGTTGATAAGGCAGAAAGTCTAACTGATGTACAGAAAAAGATGCACCGCTACATCTATCCAGTTTTTTTTTGTTGCCTGTGGAAGCCAACCAAGTATGACCCACAGCCCGGCCAAAAGTCCGCGGATTCCTGCCGGGTTAGATGTGGCGGGTTGAAAAGTTGTACCTTTAGTTTGAACTCACAACCTCCCGCACACCGTTGCGGCGAGCAGTCCATTCAACTGCACCTTCCGTTCCAAAAACACCTCCCTCATCAACTCTCTAGTCTCCACTGCCATGCTTAAACAGGTAGCACACAGTGCTGTCGTGAACCGCCACTGCCAAACCGCTGTTTGGACATCGACTTCAACTAACGCTGCAGTGGGGAGTGACGGCAGGTCCCCGGGTGCGTTTTATCCGACACGTCCGCGGCTAATGAGGGCTGCCAACTGGCTAATGAAAACAGCACGCTGACCCTGCCCGGTCCAGCGTGTTTCGGTCAGCTAATGATAGCTGAGGGGATCCCAGCGTGACACCCTATCCTCGTAATCACGTGCTAACGACACTGCACCCTTACGGTACCCCTTTCATCTGCCCGACAGCGGGCGCGCAGGCTTTCGTAAACGACCTTCGACGGCCTGTCGGAGAGCTCCCAGCTGGAAGCGGGGCAGGGTCACCTGGCACGGACGGCCGCAGTGCCCGCCGCGCCGCGCCGTGGCGTTGTTTGGGGTCTTGGAGCGCGTCGGCTGACGGGGCTATCTCCCGTCGACTCTGCTTCTGGCACCTTTAGACACGTCGCTCTCTGAGCACGTGCGGGCTATTTTGCACTGTGCTGTTATTGCTCGCTGCTATTCACTGAAAGGTCGCTGCTTTAATTGAAGTCCCAGGTATATACTCAGGGCTCAACGATAATATTCCGAGAGTTGTTTGAAAAGGAACACCGATGATGCCAGCAGTTGGACCTGTGTGGGTCTGGATTGCCGTTTCCGCACGTCTCTATGAACACACTCATCAAGATACGAGCCTGGTTCCCAATGCTGATTCCTGGTTTCCACCGCGTTTCTTGTGGAAATGAGACCCTGGATCCCGGCCCTCACTGACTTCTTCATAAGGGCCAGCTCCTGGTTCCTGGATGCTATTGTTTCTGGTTTGCGGATAGCAGGCTCAGGTTTCTGGTTCCCACCGGTTCTTTTATAGTCACCAGAAACTTGTTCCTGATTCCTATTGGTTCGTTCACAGGCACCGGACCAAGTATCTGATCCCGATTGGGTCTTCTACAAACATCAAGGTCTAATTCATGGCTGTCATTGCTTCCTTGTGAACACAAGACACTAGTTTCTGGCTTCCATTGGCTTACTCACAATGCACGGGATGCTGGTTCCCGGTTATGATAGAAACAAATTTTTCGTTAACATCAGCTCTGGTTACCATTGGAATTGCTTCGCAGTTTCCCACCATTGGAAACAAATATGCATCTTCTGAAATGAGAGATATCTTCTGCCAGGTGTGTGGTATTTCGGGCGTTTCTCAATCATAGCAACTTTTGCAGTGCCATCAATGCATTCGAAGACCAAGAAACAGTAATGATTTTCGAGAAGCGTGGGAGTTAGTCAGTCAGTCAGTCGTCAGTAGTTTCGCAGTCAGTCGTCAGACAAGAGCATAACTTGTCTGACGACTGACTGCGAAAAATGCGATTAAAATCACTCATCCGGAAGTTCTGCCAGAAAACAAAGCGTGCGGATTTAAGTGACGGTTTAAAGAGCTCCAATGGTTCATGTCAAGGAAAACATTCAAGTCATTTAACGCCCCTGCATGTTGTGATGCATTCGCTCCGTGACAATTTTCTGCATAGATTATCATATCCGGTACTACCGTCACGTGGATCGACCGTGCGGAAGCTGCTGTAGGCACGATTAGTGCATAGATTGCCCTTGATCCAAACCGTTCCTTGGAGCTTGATCCACCTGATAATAGCGAGCTTGGATCTGGGATCTGGGATGAACAGAGCGGGGAAGAGTCTAAGAGTCACGACTGACTTCGTCAGCTGAAGCAGTGCTCAAGATCGGCTTCGCTGGGGACAGGGCCGAGACAAGGCGGTCTCCCACACTCGTCGAGCACCATCCTCGACCAGCCACTCTGCACCTTCCAGCACGCGTTACTTCACGCTCACTTTGCCAATCAATTCTTCTCGCCTTTTCCGCCTCCTTATTTGCATAACAGGTCTTTGATATGGTCTCGGCTGTTGGCCCATCAGTGGCGCGACGTGCCGTGCCCTCACCCCACGCCGGATTGGTCTGCTGGGGCCAATAACGACGGCGGCAGCCATGCCCGCGGCCGCAGCGGCCACCGTAACCTGTCCGCCGTTAACACCTCGTTTGCCGGCGAGCCCTGGCGCGGCCGTAAACGTCCAGCAAACAGACCCTCAAATTCAATAGGAGAGACCCCGCGAGGAGTTAATTACAAAGCCAAAGCCAAAGCCGTGCAGACACCTCGCAACAACAGTCACTGCGGCGATCCAGATTGGAGGGGCGGCGAGGCGGACTAGAGCGACGGCGAGGCAGACTGCACGAGCGGTGAGACAGACTGCAGGAGCGCTGAGGTAGACCGAAGCGGTGGTGAGGTAGGCTGGACCGGCGGTTAGGCAGACTGGATGAGCGGTGAGGCAAACTGGGGGCGCAACGAGGCAGTGTATACAAGCAGCGAACATACTGGAAAGGCAGCGACGCAGATCGAAGAGCAGCGAGGAAAGCTGGGAACAAATCTGGAAAATCGGGGAATTGGGAGACAGGCCAGGCGAGCGAGGAAGCAGGCTGGACAAACAGCAGAACAGACTGGACGAGCAGCAGAGCAGGCTGGGTGAGAGGTCAGACGGACTAAATGAGCTATAGAACAGCTTGGATAAACGATGAAGCAGACTGAAAGAATGACGAGATGAACTGGAGGAGCAGCTCGTTAGAACAAGACTGACGATGAGGGTCACTAAGTAACGAGGCAGATTTAATTAACTGCGACGAACAAGGTGCGGGAAATGAGAGTGGAGTAGCTGAGACGTGCACAGGGGAGCAACGGAGCAAACTGGATGAGTGATGACACAAGCTGATCAGTGAGGCGCAGATCGGGTATGATAAATAAAACAGACGTGCCGGAAAATAAGACATTACCAGCTGAGTCAAGACTGTGCTGCCCGACACTAGATTCCACTCCACTCCACTCTAGTCCATTCTGTGGCCATGATTAGTGCAGCGTGCGGGTTCAACTGAGAAGGCGGCCAATGCCCCACTTTGCGCCGCTCCAGGGTCCTCGTACGCCGTTTGAGCCTGCAGGAGGTTCGATTTCATACGATTACGTACCCAATTCTCCATTTGACGGCTCCAGTGTGCACCATAGTGCATTCAACCGAAGGCACCCGGCAGCCTACGCCAAGGACCAATTGGCGCCTCTCAATCAGCACCAATCAGCCATTTACAGTCGGTTCGCACTCAGCGCCCCCTGCAGTCCACTGCCGGCTCTCATTCAGGACCCCTCTGCAGCCCAAAGACAGCCCCTCTGCAGATAACCGCCAAGCCAAGCCGCCGCCAGCGGGTGGCGCAGGCGCCGCCCCCGAATAAAGCCATCCGACCAGCCGCGTAATTACTTAATCAGATAGGCGGCGCGTCGCCTTCCGCGGGCGCGCGCGCCGCCGCACCGGGCCGTTTCGAGGCCGTACGCCGGCTTTTTGCCGGGCCTGCCAACAGGTTGTACCCCTTGTGTGACTTGTCGGCGGCCGGCCGGCAGGGGGCTGGCCTGGCCTGGGCGCGCGGCAGCGCGGCCGCGCCGCCGCGCCACCGCCGCCGCCGCCGCTCAGTCGTGCGCCAGGTGAGGCGGTGGATGCTTGCGCCGCTCCGGCCGCGCTCGTCACGTGGTGCCTCTGCGCGGGGTCAGCGGGGGTAGGCGTCGGCGCCCGCGGCAGATTGTGCCGGACAGCTGACTGCGGATGGGCAAAGCGCGGCTCCAATGCACTCGTCCACTGAGAGATAGGTGAGTCAGATACGCTGGAGAGCAGGACGAGCGGGAAGTTTTTGGATCCGCGACCCGTGGCCAGGTGAGACGGAAATGTGGCGGTGTTAAGGGTCGTGAGGGCGTATATTGGTGCAATATAGCGAGTACAATGTTTCAGAAGATGAGCGGAAGGTGCTTGTACAGCACGGTGGTAGAATACGTGAGAATACGTGAGTAGTTGTTATGCGGAATGCGACAAGGCTGACAGCCGACTGTGTGTCAGAGTGAAAATGACGTCCGGCGGTGAACCGGACGCTCCTTCTCTGTGACTTCGGTCTCGCCGACGCGGCATCCACCCGATCGCCAGGGGCAAACACCGCCCGCCTGCAGTCGGCACTGTCGGCCCTCTCGCGAGGTGCGCACCGCGCGGCCCTGCCGCCGCCGTCGCGAGGTGCGCACCGCGCGGCCCTGCCGCCGCCGCGCCGTGTCCCGAGGATCACCGTTCTGTTTGTGAAACCGGTGGCGTTCGGCACGCGGTCTGCAGCCCCGGCCAGCCGGGGCTGCAGACGGCCGCGCTGCCCGTCTAGACAGCTGGGCGGGTCGGCCTGCAGTCCGGCGGTGATATCACGCCGGCGCGGTGCCATGAATTCAGCCGCGCGTCCGCCCTCTCTGGCGTCACCGCCGCCCGGCATGACACATGGCCGCCGCCGCTCGGCTGTTTTGCAGTCGCGGGCCGGGTCCAGGTGAGGCTTCGGACCTCTCGCGCCCGCGTGCAGACGATTTCCGTGCTCGCCGGCGATCTGCCTCTGTCGGATTCCGGGCGCAAAATTGACACTGTCATTTGTTGCAAAGTTCTTTGATGGATGGCATTAAATTAACTTGGCCTAATGCGGGGCCTGGCTCAAGCCGTTCATCACGCGGTAACTGCTGCGTCGTAAGCCTGATCACGTGGTAAGAGCCCAGCTGAGGGGCCTGCAGACAGGTTGGACTGCACTCGACGGCCTGACCTGCAGACAGAGCAGGCAGCCGCCTCTGACCTGTGACCAGTTGGGAAAGCCGTCTGCTCGGGTCGCGAGATGACGGCGGCCGATCGCGAGAATCCCAGTCGGTGCGCGCGGCAAGACGCCACCCACACGACGCCGCTTGTTTGGCCGCGACCGTAGCAGGGGACGCGGCCAAAACAGCCTGCGCCAACGGTTTCCCACGCTTTTGGCGTGGATTGATTTGCATAATGTGGCACAGTGATGGACTACCGCTTCATTGGTATTCGGGGGAGGCATGAGTGTCGGCACCTGCCTCTCAAGGGAGGCGTGAATGTCGGCGCCTGTCTCTCCGAGGGAGTGTCGGCACCTCTTTCTGGGATGGTCGGTGGATGGGGGAAGAGGAGTGCCAGCGCCTTTCTATTCAGAGAGGGCGTGCTGGCACACGTCTCTTGGATGGAGATGAGTGTTGGCGTCCTTCTAAAGGGTGGGGAGGAGGGTCGGCTCCTTTCTCTGGTGCGATGAGGAGTGTCGGCATTTTTTTCCGGGATAGGGACGGTTCCGGCACGACTCTGGGATGGTTCGAGGAGTGTCAGTGCCTGTTTTTTTCGGAGGAGGGGAGGGCACTCTCTAGGGAAGGAAGGAGTGCAGACACCATTCTCTGGGGTGGGAAAAGCGCCAGTCCATGTGATGTGCACATGTGCACGTACTATCAGTGCCTGACTTCCCAAGAAGACGAGGATGTCGGCATTCTCAGGGGCAAGTACTAACATCGGTCGGAGCCATTACCTCCCCGGGTCAGGCCCAGCGGGTGTGATCCCCCGTTCAGCGGGTGTGATCCGCCGTTCACCGGTCGCGGCGCGAAAGCGAGCGAAGCGGAGGCTGCTGGCGCCACGTAAACGCTGACGAAGCGGTGCGCAGCAGAGGTCCCCTGGTCTTCTCTCCCACCCGTGCCTGCTCCCCACACCGCTACAAAGAGACCGGTCTGTGACTGGCGTCATGCCACGGCGGACGATGCTCAAATGTCTTCATGCTCGCCGTCTAATGGCACAGACATGCCTAACAACCGATTCATGGCCATAATTCGCCAATAATGATCTTCTTTGTTTTAGACGGCATTAACGTACATTGTAGCCGCGTTCATAAATTATATTTTATAGCCGGCTCATTTAACAGTGGGAAGGTGCACAGTCGCCGTAAAACGTTTTGACTGGTGGGGCTCACCTCGCCGCATGATACTTGGCCTATTTCAGGGATTATCAGAAAAATGAAATGTGTTTCTACGAAGGGCTTTTTGTGGTTTATCCCTAGGACCAAACAAACGAGAGGCTAGGACTTGCATGGAATTTATGCTTCAAAAAGCAACAAAAATTGAACCGCTCACCCCGCTGCATAGTTGATTGCATTGGTATTTGATCTGGCGGTAAAACGGAAGTCCGTTTCCGCATATTTGTGCTTATGTCTGCAACATCAAAGACAGTTGGGTCCCGTGCTTGGTGCTAGTGGAGAACTCGTAGCCCGCGTGATGATGTCCTCTTGCATTGCATTACAGGCGAGTGAGTTTAGGCCAAGACCATAGACCTGTTTCAATGCCTATGCAGGCATCAATTGATGCTTCGAGAATTCTCGCCATGCCATGCGTTTGGTAGACTTGCAACTGTTCTCAGCAAGGGATGGGGGGAGATGAAGTGTTCCTCGGAATATTGAAAACGTTTGTTGCATGCAAGTATATCAGGGTGAATCCGTCATGACTCATCCCTCTCCAGACTGGGGGAACCATCTCAGGCTCTTTGTACAAGTACCGTCATCGTGTAGTTGCCTTCCACACCTCCGTCTTCCGGTCTAACTCCCACAACAACAATCGGCTGTACAAGATATCAAACGTTGGGTATATAGCATGTTTTACGTCGACTGGTTGCAATTTGAATCATGGTGCTAGCAGCAGTAAACAACCAACGCATGTTGAATTAATGTCCCCGAGGTATCATAGAAACCCAATAAGGACAACATGCACATGCCCGTAATTAATAATAGATTGCGTTCCAAACCAATTTGAAATAAACAACACTAGATTTCCATGGATTTGTTTTACCAAACGATTTGGAAGCAACCATTCCAGCTTACCCCTCAAGGTGGGTTAAAAACGCACATAAGCGAAGTGGGCTTTTCCGTTAACATTGAGTGGGAGCAGGCACCTGCAATGACAACGAATAATTAAAGGTACTCGCAATTAGTTCTGCAGCTTGCAAAACTGCGAAATTACAAAAGCGATCGGTCGAAGTTTGAAACCCCCGTGCCGCTCTGTGGGACCTGCATTTAGGCCCCGCGTGTCTCAGAGCCTTATGCACCTGGGCATCAAAACCGCACGCAATAATTCAGAAAGAAAAGCGGCTTGGAAAAGCATTAAGCTCCTGGCTCCCGACATTTCCAAAAACAATACCAAACGTTTCGTTTTCCACCGAAACATTTACCAGTACTCCATCATATAAAGGCGGCCGCGTGTATTTGAAAAAGGATGTCAGCAAGCTTGCAATTGGGCGAAGCTTTCTAGTTTGCGATCACACTGCAAGACGCACGGCAACTAACAATACTGTTGGCAGTATTCAAAGCTGGAGCGAAATACAAACCCTTCAGTTGACAAAGCAACAACTGCGGGAGACCGGCGCTTAGGTCCCACGCAGAGGCGGCCCACATTTCTACAACTAAGAATTCAATGTCTCTGTAAAGCCGAACCGACCACAACACCGTATAAGCAATACAGGCCTTCAGCTACTGACGTTTCCGCAGCAGGAGCTGGAAGTGAGCTGGGAGTGGCCAGTAGTGGCACAGATCAGGAGAGAGGACACGTTCTTGCCGGGCAGTGAGGCATTGACCAGCATGCTAATTAGTCTCCTCAGTATGGCCAATGATTGCCTGATACTGTAATTTAATCAGTGCCTCCTGGTTATACCTGAAGGTACGTGTTTTGAACATGAGAACTCCCAGCCCATAATGTCAATCACCAGGTGCGACTGAGGGCGCCGTCCAGCGGCAGCCGCCACCGTGCTAAGTAAGGTGCGTTTCCACACGCGGCTTCCGTCGCCGCCAGTCACCGCCCGCCGCCGCCCGTGCGTCTCGCACAAAGCCGCGCCGAGCCACTGCACCTGAACTCGCCGCTACCACGTCAGTATCAGTCAAACTACGGCCGGCGGCGGCCGGCGGCGCCGTGCCGCTAGCAGCGGCGCCGGCCGGCCCGGCTAGTCACGCGGCGTGTTGCACAGCCGGGTCACGTGGCCCGTGGTGGTGCGAGGCGCGCCCGAGCCGGTGCGTCATGGGCGCCGGTGCCCGCCGGGCCCGCAGCAGCACGGCCGGCTCAGCCGTCACTCGGGCTCCTCTGTGTCGCTCCGCTGAGAGGAGGAGGCTGTAAGGGAGGCGGAGGCGATCGATGACGGTCGAGGGGCGCCGAGGCGGGCTGTTTATCTCCGCAGCTAGTGAGACAGGGTGCGAAGAAGCGACGTCCTTGCAGGAGTGTGCAGTGATAAACAGAAAGAGAATCTTGGTGCTGGCATGACAGACTAGCAGTTCGTGGATGGCGGTAAACAGATAGACTCCCATACCTCAGCGTCACAGGCGTCCACGCCGGTTCGGGTGACTGCATTTCATCAGTGGCAGGTACCACCAGAAGCGTGATATCATCCGTATATTTACAGGGCAGGACTAGACAGGTCTTGTTAGGTGGGCTGAGGCCACTGCGGTTGCAAACATTCGCCCTGCAGTGGTGCAATGCTGCTATTCGTCATTGGTGGATGCGTGCCAAATTGATGAAATGACTAGGGCCCGGTGATGCAGAAGACAGGCATTTCCAGACTTCGCTTGCTGCCGCTGCGCCAGAACAAACAACCGTATGCTTGGAGGCATATGCTCCAGTGATAAAGTGTGGGGAGAGATTACACCATTGGGTGCCGTAGTCTGTGAAGTTAACCACAGCGAGACCTAAGTTCATTTCGTAATTGCGTGAGGTTCGCAGACAATTGTGATGATGACCACATGAGGCATACACGACATTTCGAACAAAATACTTGTTCCGTTCACAATCGCTAAAACATGCAACCCACGAGTACAGTGGTTCCAGCAAAGTGCCCAGTAGCGACAGCTTATGAGTAGGCCTTCCCCGCCATCACCATATGGTGATGGCGCTCCCCGGCGTGCTCTGCCCAGTAGTGCCCAGTAGCGACAGCTTATGAGTAGGTCTTCCCCGCCATCACCATATGGTGATGGCGCTCCCCGGCGTGCTCTGCCCAGTAGTGCCCAGTAGCGACAGCTTATGAGTAGGTCTTCCCCGCCATCACCATATGGTGATGGCGCTCCCCGGCGTACTCTGCCCAGTAGTGCCCAGTAGCGACAGCTTATGAGTAGGCCTTCCCCGCCATCACCATATGGTGATGGCGCTCCCCGGCGTGCTCTGCCTGTCAGATTTTCTTCACGCATGCCTACAGAAACAACCACACGTGTGGCAGCAGAACAAAAGCTCACTCTCACGACTAAATGATAACAAGCCTTGCATTGCACATGTGAGTGCAACAAATCACTGTCGCTACTCCTCTGGCTGCTACATCGCCTGATATAACTGATTTCAATTATGTTTTTTTATCTTGGCTCTGATATGGACCAAGCTATGTCTTCTGTTATCGTTGTTTTTTCAAGTCATGGCCAGATTTTCACTGACTCTCCCTCATTGACGCGCCTCAATTTCACATCGCTGCCATACTGAGCACACGTCTGCCATACCTCACACCGCTGCGGACTCAGGCAGCTGACTCCGATACCGCTGCTGGGCTGGGGTGACACTCCTGAAGCTGCTGCTATGTCGGGCATGTTTCTTCATTCACGGTACTGCCACCCCGTCGCATTGCTACTCCACTGACACTATTGCTGCGTCCCACTGCTATTCCCCTGACGCAGTGCTCTGTCGGACTCGGCCGACGGGGTGGGTGCGATGCCACCGCCGGCGACGCACCACAGCTCGCGGTGGCTCCAGTAGGTTGAGGCAAGTGCAGCAGCCGTCCACAAAACATTTCTCTAGCAAATCACTGTTGCTGATCCTGATGTAATGTTGGAATACTGCTCCTGCCGCCACTGCAGAGCAGAACGTTATTACTGGCCCTGTTGTTGTTGCACAACTGTTATTGTTGTACCTGTTATGTTGCCGACACGTGTGCTGTGTTTGGCGGCCGTGCTGATGCCGCTGCTCCGTTGGAATATACATTGCTGCTGTTTTGGACTGCTGATCTTGATTCCGCTGATGCGTCTGGAGTACATATCGCTGCTGTTTTGGACTGCTGATCTTGATTCCACTGATGTGTCTGGAATACACATCGCTGGTGTTTTAGACTGCTGATCTTGATCCCGCTGATGCGTCGGAGTGCTGCCCGCTGATGCGGCGGAGTGCTGCTTCCACAACATCGCCGCTGTGTTAGAGTGCAGTGCCGGCACCAACTCCGTATCATATTGCTGTCACTGAGGCTGTGTCTGTGTTGGACCGCTGTTGTTGATACTACTGCCGTGTTTAATTTCTGTCCCTAACGCTGCCATAGTAAGACTACCCTCCCTGACACTGCTGCTACGCTGGGCTGCCGTCGCTGACATGGCCGCCGCTGTGCCGGGCAGCTGCTGTCGGGCCTGATGGAGCTGACCCGCCGTCAGCTGGCCCTGACGCTGCTGCTTCTCTGCGGGGTCAGCCGGGTCAGCCCGGGCGAGGCGCAGTCAGGTCAGACGCAGGTGACGGCGGCGCCCGGACGGCCCAGCGAGCCGGCCACGCCGCGCCGGCAGTCGACGCCAGCCGCCACCGGCGCTCCCGACTCCGGCCGACAGAGGCAGCCGCAGAGGTCTGGCCAGCAGCGGCAGGCGGAGAGTGCGGACAGGGGCCGGCGCCACCGCGGCGATCACTCCAACGACCTTGCGCTCTGGATCGACCCCAAGCAGATCGAACAGTTCTCAGGTACACCGACGTCAGCATTCGTCACTGGTGCCAGCTGTTTCGGACGACATTTGTGATGGTGGCTGTCTTGTTGGAAATTAAATACAACCTGGACTCAGTTAATTTGATTACATCGAACATCGTGCCTAAATAGCGTAAAAGTGCATGCAATGCAATTTGTAAGGCTTGTTAAGCTGTTTTATTCCTGAGTAACGTGATCACAATTTACAATTATGCCGAAGTCTCGGCGTAATTAGAGTAATCGTACTGTGTGCAGCACTTAGTTCACAGCTCACGCTAACCGTATGTTCTTGAACCCATCTCCAAGTCCACTGATTTCGCGCCTTTCAATTTGTCCCTGTCTGCGCCTTGGCACCGTGAAGAGTTAATCAGCACAACGGGGACAGTTAATCGGTACACCTGGCGGGGGTGCCAGTGGAAGCAGGTGGGGCTGATGAGGGGCAGCCCGGACCCTGCCTTATTCGCGGTTGTTTTCAGCGTGTGTGTGTGCAAATCCTCGTCTATTTTTACATCCCGCCAGGGCGATACCAATCTATCAGCCATCAGCGGGGTGTCTCGAGAGTCAGTAGTTAGGTGGCGATTCCTTGTGCGCCCCAGGCGTTTCGGACAGCGCTGCTGCCGGGCCATCGCCTGTCCAGCCACTGGCTGATGACCTCTCGCTGCCCCAGGCTACCACATGCAGATCCCGGTGATCACCGCCGGCCGGCTGCTACCGCATATCATGGACCCCAACTTCGAGCGCTATCTGCCGACGATCCCCGCCGAGGTGAGCCGGCCGCGCCGGGGCCGCCACCGCCGCCGGTGCACCCCGTCCCGCACGTGCACACCCAGCCCCCAAGCCCAGATGGTATCGACGCCGGCTGTCAGCGGGAGTCGCCGAGCGGCCGGCCGCCGCGGATTAGCGGGCGGCATTGTTGCCGGCGTACACGCGAGCCGCCCGGCTAATCCCCGCCGCCAGGGGACGGGCGAGCGGACACTCCGGCCCGGCGGCGCCCGCGGCCGCAGCGGCGCCGCAACACCGCGCGCCGATTGTTCGCCGAGTGAGGCCCCGGATTCAAGCCCGGAACAATATACATTTGTGTCTGGTTGTCGACCGGCAGGCGGCAGCCAGATGAGATACGCGTCTGGGAGTGGAAATGAAGGGCACATGATAGCTTCATGTTTGAGAATGAAGCCTGAAGAGTCCCTTTTGCTCGCTGCGGCCTACTGCTGGTCTCGCTGCAGCGTCCCAGTTTTAACTGCAGTACCGTTGAATTATATTGGCAGTTAGCTGTCAGCAGTGATTGCCTGAATACTTTGGTGCTAATTGCATGTCAGACGTTATCAACTTGTGGTAATTCTCGTAATTCGCCTTATTGCTTGGTAGCTGTTCGTAGAGCTAGGGAATCAAATTTTCCCTGCAACGGAAACGCTGCATTTGCAACGGCGTCCTGAGATTGCAAGATTACGACTATTACCTGGTGATCCCATGCCATACACAACGGGCGTTAATATTTTGCGGTTGTTTCTGCACGCAAGCGAGCACCCCGTCTAAAGAATGCAAAAGGAGGATACGTCATTTCATGTAAGCAGGCATACGCGAACTGCAGTATGATAATGACGTTCGCGGAGCGGCTATGACCCTGCAGAACCCCGTAGAATATAACGCATTTCGGCAAGGCTATTCACAAGCCTTTACATCAAGCCACCGATGCTGAATGCCATGTTCAATATGGCATGTTCATTTCACATCACCTTGCTAACTGCCCTCTCACGCGGCGTGGGTTTGCGAAACACCAGGATAAGCTGACAGCAAGTTCAGTGCTGTTGTTATATGCCTCAGCAGGGACAGGTACAATTATTTGATATGCTTTGATTCAGTCCGATGTTCCTCAATGTGAAACGTCTACAAATCAATCAGTACTGCTTTTGCGGAAACGAATTGCAATTCTCGCCGTTTTTTCCCGTATAGAAGAGCACTATTTAAGAGGGAAATTTGGAGACTTTTGCTCAACCTAACGCCCTCCTCGTAAAGTTTTTGATAATCTTTGAGTTGATGAATTGCTTGTATGGCATTGAAGTAATACACTGCAAAAGGATCCAACCGTCACTTTTTGGAAAGCTACGCTCAAAACTGGCTGGTAAAAGACTATTTGATCCATGCACCGCGACGTTTAGTGCTAATGTTAACTGCAGATAGATGTTATCAGCACGCGAGGCTCCTCCAACTGCACAGCCCGCCGAATAGCCTGAGCAGCCGAAGCGCTGTTAAAAATTCCTGACCATCATCCTCCTGTCCAAGCCGCACGCCTGCGGTTCTTCTTGTTGATATGAGCTGACAAACTGGCTGGACTCTAAGCCGAGGGAACTCCTTCAGTGTGGAAGCAGAGTCAGAGGTCTTTGTTTTGCTCTCCGCTGTGCACCGCCAAATTTCAGGTCCTAGATGCTTCAAAATTTCCGCCTCATCCCGAAACCCTCCATCTCCCGCGCTCATGCTGGAGAAAAATTTTGTTCACATCGGTATACGACCACCAACTTTTCATAGATTCCTCTCCTCGCCAGTCGTGCAATGCGTCCACATGTTCATTAGATGCCAACCCACACACTCACTGCGCATACGTGACTGTGTGGCTCCAGGGTTAAGAGTTATACGATTTGAAGCCGCGGCCAAAGGCTGTCAGACTTCGCAGTCTAGAAGCTCGATTATACCTTGGGCTCTCCGCCGATGGGGCCGTCATGAGCTGAGAGATCCGGTTGGACGCCGCACTGGTTCGTGGTACTTTGCCATTGCTTCCGATAAATCGTTTATATTATTAGTTTTTTATAACTAGATGAGGTGATCTATCACCGATTTGAGGCGATTGCAAACTGGACTAGACCGCAAAACTATATTTTCAATCCATCACACATCCTAATTCTCACATCGGAAACAAACGACAAGTATATATGTAAGCCGTGAGCAAGCACCATAATCCGGACCGCGTTGCCCTTCCGCCCAGTCTTCTCTATCTCAGTCTTGCAGCTGTGTGTCGCTTGACGGCATGGGTGATATTGTAGAATTGTGTGCTAGAGATGGGAGCTAGCACTCGACTCAACTTAATTGAGCTACCAGTCCCCACATCATAAAGTATTTACTCCGGCCCTTTACGGCGATGGCCTGCCAAAGTACAGCGGTATATACTGTGGCCTAAAGCTAAAGCTCTCATGAAAACGCTGATTGTCGAAAATATGCCTTCCAGAATTTCATCACGTCTGCGATACACACCAAAGTAGTCATCTGAGGTTATCTTAGCAACTCCAAGGGCCAGTCCGTCGTGGTCATTAGCCAGCTTGCTCCAAATATAGAAAAGCCGATTTAGTCTTTACAGCGCATGGATGAGCTATTGCCAATGTGGGCTTGGTCTCATCGATCTTGACTGGGGCAAACAAAGCATCTAAAGGACAGCATGACTGTTCATCAAGAGAATACCCGCGATGTTGAAACAGAGGTACTCGCGAGTCACCGGCACAAAAGCAGAACAAACCCTGCGGTGGCGGAATCAGTCTCCCTACGAAACGCATCTAACGGAATAGTAAAACGACGCTAAGCATGACGAAATAAATCTTGGGCGCTGAATGTGGTTTGAACGAGGGTCTTAATTTGCTTCTCTATGTGCGTGAGGTACTCATTATATGTATTATCAATGGGATGTTACTAGCTCCTCGGATCGCTGCTTCCGTCGCCCAGCCTGACCCACCCACCGTTTGGCTCAGGTTGGCTACGTCAACTTCACGTGGAGCTCTGGGCGGCGTCGTTACAACTACAGCTTCTTCGAGCTGACGTCAGAGGACACTGCAGTGCTACGGCCGCCCAGCGTCTCTGTGGACAGAACGGGACGCATCCCGAGAAAAGCTCGTAGTAAGTGTAATTGGTCTGATACTAACTTCGAAATATGGTGTCCCCCCACCTAGGTACCCATCATCTACTTTTGACATTATCATGTCCTGCTTTTCCGAATCGTTACCCCTTGTCTGAGATGAGTTTAGACTGTATTGATTGAGCGACATGTACGAAAATATGACCTACACGGCCATTTGCAGCCGATGCGCATTAAAATTAGATAAATTCATGTGGTCAGGCCCAAGCATCTTCATTACGGCGTCTGGGTCTCCGTAGCGCACACTAGAACGGAAATTTAGGGTCACGCATGCCCTAGCGCAGCTGAAAACTACGCCTCGTCGCCGCGGTGATGCCGCAGCTCGCACCCCATCCCCCCTGTCAGCTGACATGTGGCGTCTTCGGCAGCGTTCTCGATCGGGCTGCCGTGTGTGGGGAACGTGTCGGGCGCCGTCCGGTTCACCGTCGGCCTGGACATCACGACCCGACGGGGACGGCGCGTGCGGGGCCTGCCGCTGCGGCTGCGGCTCAAGAAGGAGTGCAGGATCAGCCACGGTACGTGCCGGTCGGCCCGGGCGCCGCCGGAGCCGAGGTCCTCAGCAGCAGGCGGGTCAGCGAGAGTGGGAGCGGCTGGAATTGGCCGCACTGGGGACGCCTGACGGCGCAGCTTGACGCTTCGATCAAGTTTCTGGTCGGAGAAAACGCGAACAACATCTGCATTACGAGCAACACAAAGCTAACGTCAGGTTAGCTGTTACGGTCCCCACTCTTGCAGTCAAGTGGTTCTGATAATTTAATTGCAATGCTGATAGCACTCCTTAAGCTTGGAGTTACTACCTGCATTCCTGTTGTATTTACTGCCTTATGGTAGCCTGATGAAAATATATTTGAAAATGGTATTAACCTGGGCAATCAGTAAAGTAAAAATAATATTTCAAGCGGTTTACGTTTAATAAACAATAGCTTTCTGGATAATCACTTGCCCATTTTGGTCTTGTGAATTCGTGCCTGGATTCCATTTTTATATTATTGCCTGACCAAGGCAGAGGAAGCTGTAGAAATCACCCCTAAAGCGATCATGCAACAAAAACCAGATTATTGAAATATCGCATTTTTACATCCTGATGGAAGCACATATTCACACATGCTAAAGCTTGTTTCATGGAGGCCTACATGCATGCACATATCAGAGTTTTCCTTTGCCCGCCGTCACGTCAGTCGACTGAACCTTGCTCCGTCGGCGGAGCCACCCTGGCGGGGGGATCGCGTGGCAAATGTTCACTTCGCCACCAGCCGGTTTTGCTCGTGTATGGTAATCATTTGCTGCACCTGGCCACGCTGTCACCAGGTGCAACATTACAATGCTGTAAGTCAGGTAATACAACGGTACCGAGTCAGTCAGGCAATAATTTTTAAGGCCTTTTTCGTCACGAGTGACGTGGATGCTGAGTGACTAAAAAAGTTTAAACATTTTCCCACGAGCTGGCATGGTCCATGCAATCACGGCTGCACGCAATAGCCCACATTGTGCACACCTGGAACCTTCCACAAGACAACCAAAAATTTCGAAAAATAAAACCGTCATATTTTAATCACATAATTATCAGTTAATGTGGTTATATCGGAGGGTCGAAAGTCAGCTGTAACAACGAACAAAATCCGAGAAATGGTTTCAGAGATAAAACTGTATGCAATTTGCATCGGCCACACTGAAAGTAATCTGAAGGGGATTTAAATTTTACCCATCTCCTTTCAAATAAGACAACAAAACGATGACTTTCTGGTCGACGTCATCTTTGAGCTTTACAAAATTGACTGTAGGCAGTACTGGCAACACTTAATAGAATTATCTGAACAAACTTAGGTAATTGAAGACCGTGCTGTCAGGTCTACGTCAAGTTGGTGTGTCTGCTGTCCAAAAACGTTTAATGAATATGTGAGTGCTTGACAGAGCGACCCTTCGGCGTTGCATCTTGATACACACGGAACGATAGGTTAGCAACAATGTTACAAATAAGCTTGTAGCACTTCCTCTCAGGAGAGGAAAACAAAAAACCCTCAGATGTCATGAGCTTAGGGTACCTGGGATCTAAGTTCAGTACATTCATTGTTTATCATATTTGTTACTTTTAGTGGGACAGCGGAACGTAGGACATGTGAAAGCCTTATCCGAGAAGACACACTGGAGACTGAAAACTGTAGTAAGGCTGACTGCAATAAATTTCCAACAGTTGTTTGTTTTTTTGGAGAAAATCTACCGTGCTTGTATCTCAGACGAGGCCCATGTTATCTGGAGAGATATGTACTCCAAGGCCATCAAGCTGCGTAACCTACAGCAGTCGATGCGCCCTAAAACCCCCTCCAAGGCCATCAACTCAAACTGACTTTTTGAGCCACGGTCCGCGACGGCAACTTTGTGGTGAGGATGTCGAAGACATCATGTGCTTAAATCTTACGTTTCTTTTGTCCAACACCAAAATACCGGCACCAAACATCGCAGAAACGCATGTACGGTAAAAGTGTTATCCTTGATGCAGTCTGATGTGATGCCGAAGCTCTGATAGTACTCTTCCCCGTCCCTCCCCCGGTAGATATGAACGTGCGCACTTTACACTGATTTGCGTCACTGTGGAAGCCCTAGACGCCGTCTCGCACCGCTAACGAAAACTTCTCCGAAAAATATCTCTGCACCACCATTTCACCCCCCTCCACCGTCTGTTTCAAATAAGCAAAATACGCTGACTGCGCTTCGACCTGATATTGATCGCGAGTTAGTTTTACTCTTGCCGACTGGGCCTTCTGCGGCTTTCATCCACTGCCGCACTCGCCTGTGCCACCGGGATCGGACCCGGTGGCCGCGTGCGCCTCTCATATGATCCGACTTGGCTCGAGTGTCCGAACACCCTGGACTGGAGCGCGGAAGACCGTGGCCGAGCGCCCGGCCGGCGCTCACCGCGTCCGGTCACGGTCAGAGCGTGACACGCCACACACCGTGGCCGAGCGCCCGGCCGGCGCTCACCGCGTCCGGTCACGGTCAGAGCGTGACACGCCACACACCGTGGCCGAGCGCCCGGCCGGCGCTCACCGCGTCCGGTCACGGTCAGAGCGTGACACGCCACACACCGTGGCCGAGCGCCCGGCCGGCGCTCACCGCGTCCGGTCACGGTCAGAGTGTGACACACCACACCGAAGATATTAGTATGCAGAACAGAGGACGGTACAGAGCCCAGCGCAGTCTTTGGCAGTGGGAGTGGGACAGTATTGTCGGTGGCTTATTTCAGTAGAGTTGAGGGTCCTTCGCAAAACCTCTCCGGTGAAAATTTTGAAAAAAGTGTTTTCACATGGGCATGAAAGTTGCCTTAGGGGTTTATTTATTTCTATACCTCGGGAACTGTTGCTCGACTTTTTTTCGCTGCCGCAACTGGCCTCTGAACTTACGATTATCTTTTAGGTTGATTTAACTACGATGAGAGAACATGAGAGTCTTAAGTTTTGGTTGTCTGATGGTAGAGTACCCTGTCTGTAACATGATTGTCCCTCCGGTGCGCGGATGGATTGGGAGCCGCTGTGTAACGCCATGTCACCCATGACCATGAGAGTTGGCATGTCTCATGCTGGCAATAATCAACCTCAAAACCAGGAGGTACTGCCTCATGACGTTATCAGGTTAACACCAGCTGCATGTCAAAACTCGCCACTGCACGCTTTGCTCATGGCCACGAGTGGCCGTGTGGCTGTGAGGGCAGCAACCGTCGCGTTTTGACTGCAGAACTACTGTGTACTGTATAACGTCGTTCAACCTGTACCCCCTGGTATATCGAAGGTCAATTGCAGTCTTCACCCCCTTCATGCTCAATAATGAATAGGACTCAGGCCACGGATCGATCTGTGTTTTTGTCGCACTGTGGTTGAAAGCTATATGTGCGTGTGTATGTAACACAGTACAGTTCCTTACTGTTCAGTCTAGTACAGGTGTGGCCAGTGTACCTAACCTGAGTTTACCGGCAGTCACGCAGTGTATGGCTCGACTCGAAAGACTTCACTTCAACGGAGACATGCCAGCGATGACCCGTTTATTGGCATCGTTATCGGTCACTCAGCTAGCGATTTCGGTCCGATCCCGGGATATCACAACCATTCCCCAATTTTCCGGTTGGGAAATGCTCGGGATCAGCTCCGAAAAAGGGACGCGTCGGTTGAGATTCCCAATATGTTCCATGCCGCCCCTCAATACTTTCCCAAGC